CGAGTCGATTTAAGCCAAAATCGTGTGTGATGCAGCGAGTGTGTGAATTGCGGCGTTCGTGAGTAATCGAGTCACAAAGGGTTCACCTATGGTCATCTGATCCTATGGGAACTCATTTTCGGGCCCTCTACATGTTGGTCTTTAGTCCTTGCAACTAGAAGTTGAGTGCTTGGAACCACTCATGCGAAATCTTCACAAAAATGAGTCGAGAAGTGGTTTGAAGTTCTACGGGAGGTAGGCTCCATTGCTAGTCCGCTAGGATGGTCAATAAGAACTCCTAAAGCTAGATCCTAGGTTCTAAGAGTAGGAGACTAAGACCTCACTAAAAATGAGGTCAACATACATATAACATTCAAATCTTTAAAATCACATCACATCTAGCATTATTATCATTTTTTAAAAGTGAAATACACTTTTTCATACGTAAGTTTAAAGCATCGAAGTGCTATGTATGTAAGTATGAAAGATTAGATATGAAATATGTAAATACATAAGAATTGTGTGTGAGGCTTGTAAATTTCCCTAAAAATTATTTACTCTACTGTGGTTTTGACATCTTATCACTTGTATTTTAGGGTAGAGATGATGATAACATTGAGACTATAAGGAAACGCTTCAAGGTTTTCGTTGAGTCGAGCTTACCTGTAATTGAGTATTACAAATTAAAAGACAAAGTTCGGACGGTATGCTCTTCATTTTTGTTTGACAAAGATAGCCTATCCTCGTTTTTCAAAATTTTGATTTTTTGTAGCTTATATACGGAATTCTGACATTTTTTTAGTTTTTCTAATATTAAAAATAACAAATTTAGTTCGAAAGATCTTATAAGTCCAATTACAAACCTTCTTCTGATTGATGAAGCCGGTGCAGGTTGATGCTGCAAAACCAGTAGATGAAGTGTTTGAGTCTGTAAGAGTTATTTTCTCCTCTTTTAGCAAAAAGGTAACTTCTTATTCGAATAATTGCATGCGATTTAAATTTAAGAAGTTATGCGGATGTGTATGATATTATTTTATTGTGCAAAAGCATTTTGTTTTGGATACAAATCTCTGTACATACAGTGCCAAAACTATAATATGTTTACATCCAATGTGTATCTTCATTCCACTTTTAGGGCTCATTTGATTCCCTAAAATTGAAACCCAAAAAAAAAAAAATTATAAAGCTTATTGAATTCAAACCTTGCAATCAAACATTCTGAAAATTCTCTCGGAAGACTTGATGATTTCATTTCAAACTAAAAATTACACTAAAGAAATTCATTTTTGTTCTAAAATATGTTTTCAATTTTCATTTTATGTTCTTTTTCTTTTCTGGCAGGCGGCATAATAACTTCTGTTGGCTTTTGTTTAACTTTAGCATGGAGCTGAAATGTTGAGCGTGCTCTAAAGAATTTATACCAAGATGCAGCACACTCTTATTCTAATATTTCTTCGTTATTTTCGCAGCTGATATATTTCTTTTTGTTTTATTAATAATTCACTGAAAACAGCAGAATAATGCCATCTCTGTAGAGCTGAAAATTTGTGCAATTTGTTATTAGTCATCTAATTGTGCCAGGTGTGTTGGGGGATTCCACAAAATTAAAATAAACTCTAGCTGTTGTGGCAGTGCCATAAAATGTTCTCTCTTTCATTATAAAAGCTAAGTAATATATATATATCATTTAATTTGGTTTTAGCATCATTTGATTGCATTGAATGCGTACATATGAAAAAATGTGTTAGTTCATGTTTGTTGAGAGTAATTTTATGAACGATTTGATTTCTAATGCATAAATTATTCATGATTTGTTTGTAATGAATGGTTTTAATTAATGATATCACATGTTTATCTAGTTTTTTTAATGTTCTCTAGCTATAAAATGTTCTATTATTTTTAAACATGCAATGTAAATGATTTAATTTTTTTGAATAAAATAAATGTAATGTATAAATATTGACATAATGTTCTTGTTTTGTAAGACCAAAAGTTTTCTGCATGTTCATTCTTTTAAAATTTTAGATGAGTAGCATTTAATCTGTTGTGAAATGTGAATATGCAGCCTCGTATTTGCGGAAAATGTGAATACGAACACTCTACTTGGAAGCCTCATATTATCAGATTAAAAAAAAAATTCTTTTATTTACGCAATTATTATATACTTCACATCACAATTCAAAGATTTAGAAGACATTAAAGGTCTGTTCCAGTTTGGCTAAAGCTCAATTCAAGAGTTAAAGCTTATATTCGAGCTCAAGATCATTTATAAGTTTTTGTTCAAGTTGGCATGAGCTTGATTCAAGCTTATAGTACGATTAAAATGAGCGACTTGTTAACGAAAAATAAACAAGTCGTATATATAGTTCTTGCCAAGCCTAAAATAAACATTTAGAAGGTACTATTCATAAACGTGTTATAATAAAGTTTATTCAAGAGTTTTAAATGGTAATATTTATGGATATAAATGAACAAAACAAGTCGTTCAAACTAGTTCATTTAGTAAGCGAGTGTTTATGAAAGTGTTCAAGGTCATTTAACTAGTTAACCAACTATATGCACAACAAGTGGCAGCAATCTCGAAGTGATCAAATGACCCAGGATGGGGGTTGGGCAATCGAAGCGGCAGACTAAATGAGTATGATCTGAACCAGCTGTCCGACGAACTCGATCAAGTCGACAAAACCACAATGCCAGTGGATCCAATTGGTGGACCATGTTTACGGTCCCAGTTATCCAAGCTTCTTTCAAGGTCATACGACCTCAACTAGTTGACCAACTGTCTTTACCTAGCCAGGAGCGATCGCTAAGTGACTAGTCGCCTCAATCGGTCGAACTCAAATACGTCAATCCACTGGCAGTCGTTGTATTACACTTAAATGACAACACAAATCTAATATTAATTAGCGCATTAACTGCATTAAAGGTGTTTTTCATAAATGTTCCCTTATTTATGTAATTATACAAATAGACTCCTATAAATAGGAGGTCGAATGATGAGAAAAGAAACTCTTCCCCTCGGCTACTCTCCTTAGAATTCTTTGTCTGCTCTACTATCTCCTACTTTCCTTTTCATAGGCTTCAACTCTCGAGACGTCTTTTATCCAAAAGACAATTTAGGATTCAACACTAGCCAAGTAGGAACAAAGTTTAATTGAACCGAGCCACTAGCAACCTGTCAAACTATGTTTTCATTTGCAACCCTATTTTTAACTTTCAAACCTAAGTGCATACTAATACAATATGACATTGAATTGAGCCACACAATGAAATTTAATTCAAGTTATGTTTGTTTTTAAACACTGCATTATCACTCCATGAGATTTTTAGCTCATTAATTGCTTATTAATTATAATTTTAATCTTAATTAACAATTAATTTTATTTTTAAGCTATCATCAAAATTCAAATAAAATAAAATATAATATTTTATGCATGAAAGTTTATTTCACTTTTATAAGTTAAAATGGTGATATTTTAGATGACATATAAAAGATTAGTTAAAGTAGGTGTTAGATATGTAACTAAATAAGAATTGGGTGGTATATAAGGATGTTAACAATCCGATTTCGAGTTGAACTGGGGTCGACCTGAAATAGGCTTGTGGCTCGTTATATTCAATTTTGTGTCGAGCTGACTCAAAATTGAATCGTGCTCAATCTGACTCGAAATCAAAACGAGACGGCTCAAATTTAGTTATTTTTATCAGTTTCAGCTCGAAATCAGCTTGATCTGGTTCAAAATTAAAACTGGTTGGCTCAAAATCGGCTCGAAATTGGTTCACCACTCGTTATATTCAATTTTACTCAGCATTATACATATCATTTTTATTAATAAAAAGTACTATGAGCTGATCTTGAGTAAGTTTGAGCGGATTCATGTATGGCCTGAATTAGACTTGAAAAAAATTTAAATCCAATTTTTTTTACTGATAGCTCAACTTGTTTTTTTGGATGCTAGAACGAGCCAAAATTCACTCAATTTTAGCGGAGATTATTACATCCGGATTCCACAGGTACAACCAGTATTATTCTTTTATCATAATACCACGAATAACACCTATAACATTATCATATCATCCGTATTTAATCTGGATGCTTCTTATCAAGAAGGTAAATGCGACAAAAAATAAATAAATAATAAACCAAAATAAAAATAAAAAAAATGAAAATTTACACCCAATTCTTATGCATTTTGACTTTTATAAGCTAAGCACTTTTTTCTATGATTAAAGAAATTATACTTTTATAAGCTAAGCACTTTTTTCTATGATTAAAATCATTATGAAAAGTGAGATTATATTAATTTAATTTCTAGCACGTTATGGATATAAAAGTGAAAATGTGAGCGTGAGAGGTAACTAGGTAAATTCCCCGAAAAAAGAAGCAGAAATGGAGTCGCCGAGCAGCTCGCAAGATTCATCGTCTCTCCGGCCTTCTTCCCTAATCCTGTCTTCGAGGTCAAAGGGAACAAAGAGTAGAGAGGAAATGGAGTCACCACCGTCGTCTCCAACTTCTTTGGTGGTGAGTAGCCCTAGGAGGACGCTGAGCTTATTGAGAGAGAGACGCTCAGGAGGAGAGGAAGTCGCCGGCAGCTATGGCCGGATTCGCCACCGAGCACGGCCCGAAACCCTCTGAAGTTTACGGTTTCGTCGGCTCCATCACCACCGTCATATCGACCGGTGCGTGTTTCTCTCTCTGCATTCAGCTTGTTCGATGATATGTCTCTGACGAGTTTTCTTCCTGCAGTTATCTATTTCGTGTGGGCTTACACTCCTGAACCGTGGCTGCAGTCTTTGGGAATCACATATTATCCTAGCAAGTCAGTGCAATTTCTTCATTTGGTTTAGTGCATAGAGATTCTTTTTTTCCCTGAAATGTACGCCTTATGGATTCTTGCCATCATACATGCAAGCATGTCTGTTGAATTTAGATGTTATGACATATATGAATGGAAAAGGAGGAAAATAAATGTAAAACATGCGCTTCTGATAATGTAATACCACAAATCAAATAAATATATAAAGATAAAATGAGAAATAACACTCTTCAATAAAGCAAACCAAGCCAACCAAATATATTCGGTTTTGTTAGATTTTTTGTGTTGAAACTAAATAATGAACCCTCCTAATAATGATTTACTGGTAATTATAGAGATTACATCATCATTGAATATATCTCAATAGGATAGATCATTTAATCAGTAAATGGATCTCCAAGATTATGGAAAGATTGATGATCAAACTAAAGAGGGGTGAGGAATTTTCAATGAAACAATTGTTGTGGTTGGTAGTTGGCACCACTCCGTGAAAGTGTTTCATCTAATTAATGATTGTGTATCCTCATGAATAAGGAAAATAATGATAACACAGAGTCCTACAAATTATTTCAAATGGAATAAGACGAGCAAAATGAGAATCTATAGTGGGAAAAGTAGCTATGAAAGCATATAGTTAGCATCACGATCGTCATGGTGGCAAGAAATTTTGATGACCAAGATGAAAAGTTGAGGAGCCTAAAGTGATTGTGGATTGAGCTAGTTGCAAAAATGTGAAAGCCAATCAATGACTAAATCCCTCTTTATATAGACAAGATCATTGATTGTTGAGGAAGGAATGGCATAGATGGAATGAAATTGAAACACCATGACAGCGCAAAAACTAATTAATGAATGAATCTCTTATGAAAGTAAAAAATTCAATGAGAATGTTGAAAAAAGTAAAGGGGCATCATCTGCTACTATTGTTATTGGCGCTTTAATTTCTAAACTAAAAGATGCTAAAAATTCCAAATGAGTGAAGCTTTAGATAGAAGCCAGCTTTTGCCGTGTCACTAGAAATTTGTGCTATGAAGTGCAAAAGAAACTTGTGATCACTAGAGATGAAGAGATTGAGCCTTCTTTATCGAATTCTATTGAGATCTATGGGATGGAGCACAATACAAACTTATTTCCACTAAGGTGTTTATAAAAACACGAGCATAGCCTTAGAGATCGAGAGAATTTTTTTTTCATTGGACTCATTAGATATTTGTGGATTTTCAAAGATATTAAAGTTTCTGTTTTGGAATAGAGGTTTTTAAGGAAACAACAACCAACACATCGTAAATTTTATGAGAATCAATTGAAGATAGATTGAAGATTTTATTCTAGACGTTTCCCGAATAATATGAGGAATCAAATAACTTTTATTTAGTTTTAGAGAATTGTGATCATTGTGATCAATTATATCCAAAAAGTGATATTGGAGAACACTCCTAATTGAAAGGCTCAATTTTTGCTCTTTATGTTCAACAAAGGGTAAATGGAGCTTGGTGTTGTAAAGATCAACAAGAAAAAGCGACTAAGGATTGTTAAGGATGCTTCTTGGGCCAGGAAGGTTTCTTAAGTTCCACCTTGCTAGTGTTTATGAAAGTGGCCAATAAGTTTTGGATAAGCGGATGTGTAGTCATAGAATAGTGGTTAGAGAACCTCAAGATCTGGGTATGAAGGCTTCCTATAGGATGCTTGTGAACTAAGAAAAAAGACGAGCCTAACATAAGGACAATCAAGGGGATGCATAAATCTTACAAGTCCGAAATATTCATGGACTTAGTCGAGGGAACTACCAAAGGTATCACAGAGGATGATAAGGCGTACACTTTGGAATTTTGGATGGCTCGGGATCATTAAATAAGCATAGGGAAGATAGAGGTACAACTCAAGAAGTTGTACATTAATAAAGCCAGAGTGCTATGTGAAAAGAGGTCTTCTAGTTTGGAAAGGAAGTAAAGAGTTGCGGCTCTTGATTCGCCAATTAGAGTGAGCCTTCCAAATATCAAATTAGAATACCGTATGAATACTTATTCTGAAGACCAAAAGGGAGAGCAGGCTTATCGTAGTTAATATTTAGGGAAAGATTCATAATTATTTCTTAGGTTTATATGCTTTAATGACTTATGAAGTAGGTTGGGCTTATTATTACTTGGTCTTATGTTGGTTTTGTCAAATCACTTAAAGCTAGGATAACTAGTTCAAGGTTTTTGAGACAAATACTGAAGGACTACTAGTTGCTCATGAGTGGGCCAACTTGACCTCAAGTTAAAGAAACAGATGCTGGATTTAAATATGCTTTATCTATTATAAAAAAGAGTGATATGAAAAGTTCAGGCTAAATAGTTAAAATGGGAAAGCTGTCAAAGCTAAAATTGTCGTATTGATGTGTGGGAATACAGTGAATGAGTATTAAATGTTATTTTATTATTTTTATCCATTTGATATTTATATTCAGTTTGGGATTTTTGACAATTGTAGCATATCTGGTTCTGATCTTCTATTTGTGTTATAGTTGGTATCTTTGTTGCATCTAAATGAGTTTTGCCCGACAAGATACAGCTTATTAAATTAGTCAATTATTTTGTTTGAGGGATCGATGATACACCAAGCATGCTTTCTGCAAGTTGCTCATCTATCCATATTTCATATTTTTTCCATATTCTTGACAATTTTATGTGTTTTCAAGATTTATCTAAAGTTTGTTGTTTTCATATTGAATTGCTTTTCTTTGCCTTAAATTTTTTGGTAGATGGCATCCTTATAGTAAATTCCGACAATAATTTAAACTAAATTACACATCATGCTTTGAAGTTGATTTGGTAAATCATTTTGTCTTAAATTAGACGCCCATCAGGAATCATTATGATAGTGATAATTGTCATAACTGAAAACTATATTTCTTGAATCAGTTGAGATGGTGCAAAGGAATGTGCAAGGCCTCGAATTTCATGACTGTGATCGCATTTTTGTTTTTTTGCATCTTCTTGATTCTGCGATTGAAATGGTTTAATCTATACTATACACCGCTTTTTCAGTTTACATGGGGCAATTTTGGTTTCAAAGCCTATGATTGTGTCGAATTAGTCCCCAAAATTTTTTTTTGTTACCAAAATAGTCATGGGTACTAACTATTTCAGCTCATACTATAAGAGTTTGGGTGCTAAATTGACATTTTTTAAGACTCTAGGACTAAAATGACCTTCCGGAAAGAGTCAAAGGACTATTTTGATACTTTTTTCTTTTTCTGTTTTGGTAAAACTTCTTATCATTACCAATGTCATATTACTGTTCTGGCAAGAAAAAGGATATATGAAACTACACTCATTTGAGAAAACTCTTATTGAGCTTAAGAGATTAAGATGAACATTCAACTCTAATTAACTAGTGAAAATGGTTTATGTAACTTTCAGGCATTGGGCTTTGGCAGTTCCAACCTTTTTTATGGTGACAATAGTTTTGGTGATTGCATTTTACATTGGACTGAATTTCATGGTGACTCCACCTCCAACCTCTTTTGACACGATGTTTGGTAAGGCTTACATGCAAGCGTTTGTAGTTCTATTTTGCAATCCATGCAAGCGTTTGGACTCATGTTGTTGTTTTTGGAACACTGGAATCATAAATATTTTTGTAGTTCTATTTTGCAATCTATGCAAGCGTTTGGACTCATGTTGTTGTTTTTGGAAAAAAAAGGAGAAATATAATTTCAAAAAAAAAAAAAAAGAAAAAGAAAAAGAAAAAGGTAAAGAATGGAAAACATAAAAAAGATCAACACACAAAAACGTGCAATGAATTTAATACAAATTTACCCCACTGATTTCTATTTATTAGAAGTCTAATTATTAGCCTTTTTGATCCAATTTTAATATAGTTATTTAATATTTCATTAACTTCGATTTGAGCATAAAACCAATCCAATTTGGGTCCATCTTTGAACTCCTAAATCAAATTCATTTTCCAACGCGCGCGCACACACACACGTGTTAACATCATGCATACACATTCCAATCCGATGTTGGCTCACTCAATTCAACCTCTGTTTGTGCTAGACTTAGCATTTCGACTTTGATCCGAGTCAAAACCCAATCTAAGTTCTTGTGGTCTTTGATCCTCGACTCTGAATTGGTCTTGTCAATGTTAGCATTAGAGTGGTTGGTTTTATTCTTCTATTATTCCACCGTGTTTTCTATACTTGGCTCCTAATTTGGTTTCAATATTTATTTTTTGGGGCCATTTACATACATACCACCCAATTCCTATGTATTTACATGTCTAACACCTAAACTTCACTTGATTACATTTATACAACCCAAATCTTTTATATCACATAAAAAACATCACTAGTTTAACTTTTAAGAAGTAAAATTCATTTTCACATTCATAGGTAAGGTGGTATATATGTAAAATTGGAGATTTAGGTGTTTGATATGCAAATGCATGGGAATTGAGTGGTACATTTGTAAATCTTCCTTTTCTTTTTCTTTTTTTCTTTTTAGATGAATATAGCACAGAACCCACCACTTTTGTTCCCATGGAAGGGGAAGAGATGCCAATCGAGCCCATTTCTGATATGGATATCACCAATGTAAATTCTCTCATGTTTGGGTAAGCCTCTAAGCTGTGAATTTCTATACTCCCTTAATTGAATCAGAATGAATATTTGAATTCATATCAATAGAAAGAGGAGAATCTCTATAGAAATCTAACCCTAAAATATATATTTATTTTGCAAGAGATCTGAATTTCAGTGTCTTTGTGTTACTGATGTCACATTTATTCATTACTGTAGATATAAATTGCACCTGACAGTGATGCTACCTCCATTATATTTTCTATGTATTTTTAGAAACATTAAGACATTATTGTTTCCTATTTGAAATTATTGAAGTTCATATTGTTAAACGTTATGCATGGTGATTTTTTGGTAATTCATGGCCTTGGATTGAACTTTTCTGTAATAATCTGACCACAGCGGCCTTTGTTATTAATTTGCACAGGGATTTATATATAAAACACATTTTTTTTTATGTATTTATAAGAGTAACACCTAAAATTTGAACACGGAATATATATTGAAGTAACACCTAAAATTTGAAGTACGACCTTTACAGAGATTGCTCTACCAACAGGCCACGGAAGACGCGCATGTGCGCGCTCGCGCACACACACACAGATATATATATATATATATATATTTGAAAAAGCCGAAGGACAAATATATTAATACGGAAAAGATACAAAAATATTGTATGAGAGGGCCTAAAAGAAAGTCCAACTCATAAAATACAACACACACAAAATCCAAATAAAACAAATATACATAAAGTTAAAAAACAAAAAAGTTGCAAAAGGGCACAAAAGTGTTAGGGATGTCCCACTTTAGTCATCCTACCTCGAGTTCTCGGAAGTGAGCCAGTTAATAAATTTGTAAGGTGAGTATCATTGTCCGTAGTAACCAAAGTATCATACATCAGATTCCTGAGCTCGAGTAGATCTCCATTTTTCTTCTTCCTCCTGGATGTGTAGACCTGTCATTCCTCATCTGATGATTGACTCATTTGATCAGTAGATTCCAAAGGTGGTCGGACAGATATAGGTCGTTGCACATCATGATCCCCATAAGCCTGAGTAAAATTAACATCTTTCTGGACCTGATGAGGCGGTGGTGAAGCAGTAGAAGTATTTCTACCTGTATTATTAGCGATAGGTTCTATGACAGACGGAGTCTGAAGAATCTCCCTCTCCCCCACGATAGGAGGTTCCAAAGACTGGGGAGCTACAACTGGGGTACTGAATGGTTGTCATATTGCCTACGGGGATATTGACGTCTTTCGGGGTATCCTTCTGATGATCAATAGTGTCAAAAACTTGGTGCTGATTGGGATGAGATGAATTCACAGTCTCTAGCGAAACACTTTGTTTTTTTGGTCTGAGGTGGGGGTGTAGATGGTGACATTGAGAATTGGAGTGGCCGAACATACGTCAATTCAAACAATATGATGAAAAAGACTCAATCTCTACCTTCTGCCAATATCCATGGTGCTGTGTGCCCAATCAGATTTCCTCCGAAACGGGTGAAGTGATGTCTCTTTCAACCAGTACTCTGACTTCAGATGGACGGGAAAAATTAAAAGTAGGAATGCCCGTCTTGAGCGGCTTTCCATAAGCTGAGGCAATAGAGTACAATACTTTTTGAGAAAAATAATGAAATTTCAGACCAGTGAGATGAATCCAAACCGGAATGATTGGCGATTCCATCTATGGGTCAAAATTCATAGACTATTTCAGAATCTTCATTGTTTATTTATCAATCCAGATTATCCTTCTAGCAAATAAGCGCATGTAATCTTCTTGATTGTTAATTTGAATAAGAACTTTTCTCCCATCTAATAGTCCAATTTTCCACTCTCCAATAAAGTGTATAAATTCAAATTCTTTGCAAATGAGCTCCATTTTGGGATGATCATATAGAAATTTCTCAACCAAATTCAGACGACATGATGAAGCAAGTTGAATACCATCGTCTTCTGTAAAAAAGATGACAGACTTTTCATTTTTCATACCAGTCTTCTTGATGTCCTCTGCCCACTCAAATGAAGGAGGAAAAGATGGCGATTTAGGTGTACCTGAGGCGTAAACACCCGCAAAAGCAACAACATACGATCTGTCCGAAACCATCCCAAAAGAGGGAGGTGGGGCTGTGGGACAACAAAGTACAGTAGAGGAAGAGCAAATGCCGAAAGCGAAGTCGAGCAGTGGGCGATTCGTTCGAGCCAGAGGAAAGCTTGCACCCTGCGAGCGAGGACAGGAGCGACAGAAGAAGCCCGTGCTTCTCGGGATGATGAAAGAACATGCCGCTGTCGCCCCCGAGCCTAACGCCTTTACGCGAGAGTCGCTGACTCAAACGTGCAACTGCGACGTGACGGCGAACATGCGACGAAGACAAAGACGAGGAAAGACGAAATCGATGAAGATGCAGTGAATCAGAGAAACCAAGGATTCGCCATGTATATATATATATATATGTGTGTGTGTGTGTGTGTGTGTTTTTCAAGAAAGGAATAACCGTAGGCTATTATACGAGAAGAAAGGAATAACCGTAGGCTATTATACGAGCCTCCACCATCTCTCATATGCCTAAGAATTCAAGTACCATACCTTACACTTGGGAGAATCAAACTCCAGACCAAAGGGGACTTACAACTGACAAACAGATGCCAAATCAACTGGTTTGAGCATGCGTCAAGTATATATATATA